ATAGATATATGTAAAGTATTTAAAGGTGTGGTCTCTGAACACCTGTAGCTCACTCTTAACAGCTCAGCTAGAAAGGAGAGGAAGCAAATATAGCAAAGTGCTGGCAATTAGTGTATTTGTTCATTGTGCTTTTATCTCAGTTTTCTGTGAGGTGGAATTTCTTTTCAGAATGAAAAATTGGGAAAATTGGGCCAGGAATAGAACTCAATAGGAGAGCATGTGCTTTGCCTATATGAGCCCCTGGATTTGATCCCTAGTGCCACTAAAAAATTATTTTTTCAGAGGAAGAAGACTAACAATTTTTGTTGTTGATTGCAGGGCTTGAGCTCAGGTTCTGGGGTGTTGTCCCTGAGCTTTTGTGCTCAAGGCTAGTGCTCTAGCACTTTGAGCCACAGCACCACTTCTGGTTTTCTGGTGGTTAATTGGAGTCTCATGAACTTTCCTGCTCAGGTTGGCTTTGAACCTGGATCCACAGCTCTCAGTCTCCTGAGTAGCTAGAATTATAGGCGTGAACCACCGCAGCCAGGCTCAGGACTAACAATTGGAATCTTAACAATTCCTTATATCTGTTTCCTTCCCTCCCTCCTTCCCTCCCTCCCTCCCTCCCTCCCTCCCTCCCTTCTTCCTTCCTTTTCTTTCTTTTCTTTCTTTCTTTCTTTCTTTCTTTCTTTCTTTCTTTCTTTCTTTCTTTCTTTCTTTCTTTCTTTCTTTCTTTCTTTCTTTTCCTTTCTCTTCTTATTTTCTTTCTTGTCAGTCCTGGTGAAATATCCCAGCTTCCTGGGGCTGGTAGTACTCTAACCCACAATTGGTGAAAGGAGTCACCAACACTCAGTCAATAGGGCTAGGAATCATTTAATAGCCATGGTGTCCGACCTCCACTACACCAAGTCAGTGGAGACCAGCAATAAAGTCAAATAGCTCAGGGTATTTAAAGACAAGATCCATAGGGGAGGAGGGCGCCACTCCAGGGTGGCCCGTGGTAGTTTTGTGATTGGCAAAGAAGCAAGTTACAGAAGCAGAGCTAGCAGTTAGTGATTACACAATGGTGATTACAATTCCAGGCTTTCCAGTAACCAAGGCCATAAGTCACAAGGCAAAGTCCTTATCCCAGATCTTCCCATCAAAGAAGCAATTTAGTGAAATAGCAATTACAGTCTCTATACACAAAGTAATAAGTCCTCAAAGCAAAAACCACATTACAAATTTCTTACTTATCACATCCCAAAATCAAACCACCTTCCAGGTTTTCTGGCTCTTTCTGAGTTTCACTGTTATCTATCGAATTCCCAGTAACCTGGTGTTTAACTCACTAATTTACTTCAAACCTTTATCTCTGGAATTTTTCCTTTAATGACTAACTTGGAGTTTCTACAAGGAGACTCTGCCTTTTAAGTCTGGCCTTATTCTTACTTTGCAAATTACAGTAAATTCAGGCCTCAGTTTGTCCCATTCCTAGGGTCTGTATTTATGTTTCTCAGGTAACCTGGGACTTGTTTGTCCCAGTTGAATTTTATTTTTCCTTGGTCTAATTAATACTCTATTTGTTTAATTTAACCGGATTCTAACACTGGAGCTTGAACTTAGGGCCTGGGTACTGACCCTGGGCCTCTTTGTGCTCAAGGCTAGTGCTCTACCACTTGAGCCACAGCGCCACTTCCAGCTTTGGCTGAGTAGTTTATTGGAGATAAAAGTCTCATAGACTTTCCCGCCAGGCTGGCTTCAAACTGCAATCCTCAGATCTCAGCCTCATGAATAGCTAGGCATTACAGGCATGAGCCACCCATATATCTATTTTAATTTTTTATATCTATTTTATTTTTTATTCTATTAAATTAAAATAAAATTAAATGTAATACTTATAACTAAAAGCATAATGATTTATGGTTCTTGGATTTGAATTCAAGGTCTCTCACTTGCTAGCCTAGAGCACCTGAGCCACACTTTTTGTTGTTGTTGTTGTTGTTTTGTACCAGCCTGGGGCTTGAACTCAGGGTGTAAATGCTGTGTCTGAGCTTCTTTTGCTCAAGGCTAATGTTCTACCACTTGAGCCACAGAGCCACTTCTGGCTTCTTCTATTTAGTTTATTGGACTTTCCTGCCTAGATTGGCTTTGAACCAGGATCCTCAGATCTCAGCCTCTGGAGTAGATAGGATTATAGGTGTGAGCCATGGACACTTGGCAGATAAGCCTTTTGGGGGGATACTTCAAATCCAAGCCATAACAATATGTCTATAGGATGAGGCCTGAAATAATGTTTTTGCTAGTGCTAATATTTAATTTCTGGATGCTAGAATATTAGATTTAAAAAAAAAAGTTGTTCTGGGGATTGAAATTAGAGCTTTGCATTCTAGCTCTTGAGCCATGCCCCAAGTATTTTTGCTTGTTTTTTAGATAGGAGCTTACGCTTTTGCTCTAGCTGGCCTCAGACTGAAATTCTTTTCCCTCTGCCTCTCGAGCAGCTGGGATTGCAAGTGTATGCCATAATGCATAGCCCTGCAGGCTTACTTTTATTTATGTGTGCAGGGATAAAACCCAGAGCCTGTGCATGCTAGGTAAGTGCTGTAGCACTGAGTTATACCCTCAGTCCTTCAATATTATTTTAATTATTTATAATTAATGTATATACTTTAAACAAAATCAGTAATTGTTAAGTGCTTTAAAAAATGGATATACAAGGGCTAGAGGACTGGCTCACAGGGTAGACAGCCTACCTAGTAATCAGAAGAACTTGAGTTCAAACCTCAATACCACCTGACAGCCTTTCACTGACATTAAAAAAAAAAACCACGGCAGCACCGAAGGAGCCTCGGTTGGCCTCGGATAGCCGGTCCCCCGTTCGTCCCCGCCCTCGCGTCAGCGCGGGGTCGTTACCCCACCACCGCGAGTTGGGACCGGGGTCCGGTGCGGAGAGCCTCTAGTCCTGGGAAACGGGGTGCGGCCGGAAAGGGCGCCGCCCCCACTCCTGTCACACAACGCACTTTCGTGTGGAACCTGGCGCTAAACCATTCGTAGACTGCTTCTGGGTCGGTGTTTCGTATGTAGCAGAGCAGCTCCCTCGCTGCGATCTATTGAAAGTCAGCTCTCGACACTTTTTTAAACAAATAAAAAAAAAAGGGGAAAAAAAACCAGTGAAAAAATGGATATAAAATGTTAAGAATTACTTCTGGCTAATAGGAAGATGGATAATTACTTATATTTTCTTTTTGTCTTACTTTCAGTTTTCAAAATGAAATAAATTAGCCTTGCACCAGTGGCTCATCTTATAATCCTAGCTACTCAGGAGGCTGAGATACGAGGATTGTGGTTCAAAGCCAACCCAGGCAGGAAAGTCCATGAGACGCTTATGTCCAATAAATTATTCAGAAAAAGCTGGAAGTGGTGCTATGGCTTAGGTGGTAGAGCATTAGCCTTGAGCACAAAGAAGCTCAGGGATAGCACTCAGTCCCTGAGTTCAAGCCCTGGCTGTGAATATTGCTTAGTGGTAGAGTGCTTGCCTAGCACGCATGAAACCCTGGGTTTGATGCTCTGGTACCACATAAACTGAAAAAGCCAGAAATGGCACTGTGGCTCAAGTGGTAGAGTGCTAGCCTTGAGCAAAAGCAGCTCAGGGACAGTGCCCAGGCCCTGTGGTCAAGTCCCAGGACTGGCCAAAAAAAAATTATAAAGAGCAATGACATTAGCAAATACATTTCAAAGACTGGGGATGGATGTAGTTCAGTGGAAGAATGTTTGTATATCCTGGGTGAAACCCTAGGTTTCACCTCCAGCACCACAGAACAACCCCAAAACTCACACAAAATAAAACACTAAAACAACACTAGCCAGTGAACTGATCGTAGGGTGGAAATAACCGTTCTAAGTATGTAGCAGTCCTACCTTCAAATCTGAAATGTTTTAGAGGAAACTAATGAAAGTGACACATTTCTAAGTGTAGCAACAAAAGAAACTCTCCAGAAGCAAAATCAAAAGATAAATGAAAATGGGATGGAAGAGAGTGAGGGAAGGGGTGACATTGTCCAAAAAGAAATGTCATCATTGCTTGACTTATGTAGCTATAACCTTTCTATACATCACCTTTACAATAAAAATATTAGTTAAAGAAAAGAAAATTGGAAAAAGCATATGCATTTGAAATTAAATATTTGAGGCAATTCGATCATCTCTTACTTCCAGTCCTCCTCCTTTTCCTCCTTTTTTTTTTTGGGCTGGTCCTGGGGCTTGAATTCAGGACTCAGGGCCTAGGTGCTATTCCTGAACTTTTTTTTTTTTTGGTGCTGGTCTTGGGGCTTGAACTCAGGGCGCTTAGCTTTTTCACCTCAGGTTAGTGCTCTACCACTTGAGCTACAGCCCCACATCTGGCTTTTTGGTGGCTAATTGGAAATAGGAGTTTTACAGACTTTTCTGCCCTGGCAGGCTTGGAACCACAATGCTCAGATCTCAGCCTCCTAGTAGCTAGGATTAGAGGCAGGAACCATAAGTGCCTGGCTCTAATCTTCCTTATTTCTACTTTTCCCATAGCTAACATGCTTTATCCTTTCTCTGGCATTTTATCTATTCATCCGTCATTTCCTGAGGATCTCATATGTTCCCACTACTGTATTAGTCTCAAGCCAAGTTGGACAAAACAGAGAGAACATATCCTGATTTTGCTGGTACTAGGGCTTGATGGACACTGTCCCTGACCTTTTTCTGCTCAAGGCTGAGGCCCTACCACTGAAGCCACAGCTCTACTTCCAGCTTTTTTGCTAGTTAATTGGATATAAGGATCTCATGGTCTTTCCTGCGCAAGCTGGCTTTGAACCTGGATCTTTAGATCACAGTTTCTTGCGTAGCTAGAATTACAGATGTGAGCCACTGGCATTGGCCCTCATGACTTATTTAGAAAAGGAACAGGTTACACTAAGGGGTGGTGACAAAAATTTACCATGATGGGAACCTGATTTGGGGCGCATTACCGTGGAACCTGGGCACTGAACTCTGATCTGCTGTCATTCACACAGACCCAGAATCAGCTTGTCTACTTCATTCGCCAAGTACCAGAGCCCATCACTCATGAGAACTTCCGGTCAATAGTGCAGTTTGGGATGGTGCGGGGTCCCTACATCCCTGCCCTGCTCCGGCTGCTCAGTGGCGTCTATGTCCCTCAGATCTTCGCAAATACAACCTGGCCTGAGAGCATTCGAAATCATTTTGCTTCACATCTGCACAGGTTCTTGGCCTGCCTGACAGGTGAGTGGGAAGGCTGGTGGGCAGTGCATCCTGGTCGGTAAAAGTGGAATGCCCTACTAACACCGTAATCCTAGCTACTCAGAAGGCTGAGATTGAAGATTGAGGTTCAAAGCCAGCATGGACAGAAAAGTCTGTGAGACTCTTATCTCCAATAAACTTCTCAGAAAAAGGTGGAAATGCTGCTGTGGATCAAGTGGTAGAGTGCTAGCCTTGAGCACAAAGAGGCTCAGGGACAGTGCCCCGGTCCTGAGTTTGAACCCTAGGACTGGCAAAAAAGAAAAGTGGAATGTCCCCAATGAGTGGACAGGGGTGTGACATACTTTGTTTTGTTTTTTTCTGCATGTTGCACACCAGGCTTCACTCATGAGGCCATGCTTCGCCACTGAGTCTTGCCACCACCCTTGTTAATACTCAGAACAAATATCTAAAAGAATTTTTTCTTTTGCCTTCTGGTGCTAGTTACTAAACCCAGGGAATACTAGACTAGTTAGCGCTCTACCACTGGACTACATCCTGGTTTAAGGGTTACTGTTTCATAAGTCAGATAATGAGTACCTTTCTTCTTGGTCAATGTCTCCCCTTCCTCTGCTCTCTTCTTGTTTTCCCCTCTCATCCCACGATTATATAGGTCATTTTCAACAGTAGCTGTTGAATACCACTATTGCATTTGTTCACCATTTGTCCTTGCATTTCTATGGCCTCCTGCCTCCCAAAGACAGATAAACAAGACAAAAATACATCCCCAGTTTTTAAAAGAACCTTTTAAGTGGAATCTCATTGTGTATAACCAATGAAATGTGTGTAGTACTCAAGCATTTAAATACATCCAAACACAAGCATTTTGCTCCCATGTAGTCTAAGTGTCCTTAATCAAAATTGCAAAGGATGCTGGGCGCCAGTGGCTCAAGTCTGTAATCCTAGCCACTCAGGAGGTTGAGTTGTGAGGTTCAAACCAGTTTAGGCAGGAAAGTCCCTGAGACTCTTATCTCCAATTAACCACCAGAAAACCGGAAGTGCCACTGTAGCTCAAGCAGTGGAGCGCTCACCTTGAGCACCCAGGCCCAGAGTTCAAGCCCCACGACCGACCCCCTCCCTCAAAAAATTGGCAAAGTATGATAAATTGATGAGTAAAAGATACTGGGGGGAGGGGGATTTGCTGGGAATGTGGCTTAGTGGCAGAATGTTTGCCTAGCATGAATGAAGCCCTGGGTTCAATTCCTCAGTACCATATAAACAGAAAAAGTTGGCAGAACTACACTTGAACTACAAGTGGTAGAGCACTAGCCTTGAGTAAAAGAAGCTCAGGGCCAGTGCCTACTCTCTGAGTTCAAGCCCCAGTAATGGCAAAAAAAAAAAAAAAAAGAAGAAGAAAAAAAAAGGATACTGGGCATAGTAGCACATTCCTATAATCCCAGTACTCAAGGAGGCTGAGATAGGAGGATTAAGTATTTTAGAACAAACTGGGCTACAAAGGGAGACTCTCATAACAAACAACAATTACAAAAACAAATGACAACCCTCCCCTCCCCAGAAAGACCAAAAAATAAGGATATTATTGGATAATAAGTCAGTCTTAGGCTGTACCATTTAGCTCAGGGTACAGCACTATCTTAGCATGGCCAAGGCCCTAGGTTTGATCCCCAGCACTACCAAAAGCAATCAGTTTCTGATAGATTATAATGATTAAAAAAAAACCCAGAAAATTGAATCTGATGTGGCTCATGCCTATAATCCCAGCAACTCATGTGGTTGAGATCGAAGTTCAAAGCCAGCCTGGATACAAAAGTCTTTGAGATTCCATCTCATTAACTAGCAAAAAGCTCGGCTGGAGGCATGGCTCAGGTGTTATAATATCAGCTCTTAACAAGAAAGCTATTTGTGCATGAGGCTCTGAAGTTAAGCCTTGGTATAGGCACACACACACACACACACACACACACACACACACACACACACACACACACACACTTCTAATCCAGATTCAGCTTGCTCTTATAGAATTGGTTGGCCAGATCTGCTCAAACATAGAATTGGAAATTTCTGAGAGTCCACATGGCATAAAGAGAAATGTAGATAGTGGAGTAGTTAGAGATGTGCACATACTGTGAAAGTGGAGAGAATAGTACAGATCTTTGAAATTATTTTATGATAATTTCTTGTTATACATCCATACGATCTCCCTCTTGTTTTCTGTCACATCTCCTCTTTTTGGGGTGCTGAGCGTGGGGGACATGGTCTTGCTATGTAACTCAGGCTGGCCTTGAACTCCCAGCCTTGCTGTTTTGGCCTGGTGAGGTTGGGTTTACAGGCATGAATCACTATACCTAGTTTTGATTTCTCTTCTTGATATCAAAGACGCATGAGCCATAGTTCTGACTCCTTTCCTGAAATATTTATGTCATCTCTTAGTATCTGGGGGTCATTGGCTCTAGTTCCTCTCAGATACCCAAATCTTCAGATGCTCAAATCTTTTATATAAAATGGGGACACACATCTTCCCAATATCCTTATTTTCCTTTTTTTTTTCATATAGGGTCTTGTATGTAGCCCTAACTGGCCTTGATCTTAAGATCCTTCTTCCCCATCTTCCTGAATACTTCGATTATAGGCATGTACTACAATGCCTTCTTACATTCTAATACATACTGAATATAATGTAAATGCTGTGGAAATAAGTGTTATACTGTATTATTCAGGGCAGAAAGAGAACAAAAACTGTTTCCATGTTCAGTACAGATGCAGGTTTTCTTTATTTTATGCCTGTATAATGGCTTAAACTCAGGACCTTGCCCTATCACTTGGCTTTTTTGCTCAAGACCAGCACTCTACCACTTGAACCACACCTCCATTTCCAGCCTTTTGCTGCTTAAAAGGTGAGTCTTACTTTTTGGGGGGCCCAGACTGGCTTTGAACCAGAATCCCCAGAGTCCCAGTGAGATACAAATTTTAAACATCTATGGATGTGCAACTCATAGACACTGTGCAGTCCTGACTATAATTCTGGGCCCCCCACCAACCATCAACCCCAATTGACACTGGGGCAGCAAACATCAGCCTCTTTGCACTTCCATGATCCTCTCCTTAGATACCCGGTACAAACTGGAAGGACACACCGTTCTCTACATCCCTGCAGAGGCCATGAACATGAAGCCGGAAGTGGTGGTCAAGGACAAAGAACTGGTGCAGCGGCTGGAGAGTGAGTGACTGGCACTATGGCGTCTGGTAGGGATTGCAGAGGGGGAAGAGGCTGTCCAGATGTGTGGCAGGAGGAGGGAGCATGGTGACCAAACGCGAGAGGTTTCACACTCTCCCTTGCAGCCTCCATGATCCACTGGACCCGGCAGATCAAGGAGGTGCTCAGTGCGCAGGAGTCTGTGGAGACAGGAGAAAGTTTGGGTCCTTTGGAAGAGATTGAGTTCTGGCACAACCGATGCATGGACCTGTCTGGCATCAGCAAGCAGCTGGTGAAGGAGGGGGTGAAGCATATTGAGTCCATCCTGAACCTCGCCAAGTCGTCCTACTTGGCTCCCTTTGTAAAAATGGCGCAGCAGATCCAGGTTTGTGAGTTGGATCAGCGCCTGGGCGCTTAGCAAAAAGGGGGCCATGGTTGGGATGCTCTGGAGGACTGGAAGAGGGAGGCTAACCGAATCACCAACATGTAGACTGATCTGCCGTGTTTGGACTGGTACTTGTGGGGAGACAGGAAGAGTAATGGAACGGGCCCTTGGGAGCTTGCAGCTTAGGTAGAGAGATATCTAGTTAATCAACAAAGAGTCATTGATTGCCCTCTTGTGACCAATGTCTCCAATCCAGCTGAGAAAATAGGATTTATGTAAAAGAGGATTAAAAGATGGCATGAGACCCACAGATGAACCTGTGTGATTCAGTTAAAACAAAATCAGGATAAGCTGATTACATTAGTGCTGAGGCCTATGGGGATGATACAGGGATGGAAGACCTTTTTTTTCCCAGGTGAAATTTCCCACCAAGTATAAGAGCATTGAGCTATAACTGGAGAGTTCTAAAGCAGTCATTGAGAGCAAGGGCGGTGCAGAGGGCTGAGTGGTACTGAGTGGCACTTGGGGGATGGAAGAAGAGTGATGTCGAGGCAGTGGAGCAACAGCTATGCAGTATCTACTTTGTACCGAGTGCTGAATTCAGCTGGCGACAATAGAGGGATGGACACTCATATTCCTGTCTAGAAGGCTTTCATAGACCGCAGAAGATGCGGACAAGTTGACATGTGCAAATTGATCCTGAAAGCTTTGCTCCTGGGTATGGTTCATTGAAATGGTTTCCTAGTAAAGAGGAGGCAGGCTGGGGTTTGAGATGAATAACGCTCTAGTCTGGTGCCAATCACTGTAGCTACTCAAGAGGCTGACATCTGAGGATGGAGGTTCCAAGCCAACCCTGGGCAGACAAATCTGAGAGATTGTTATTTCCAATGTTGAGGAGTGGAACAAGTGGTACAGCGCCACCTCCAAGGGAAAAAGCCAAGTGAGAGCGCAGGCACTGAGTTCAAGCCCCAGGACGGGCACATGTGCACACACAGGGCTTGCTCTCAAGTCTTTCCAGTGGGTAAATGGACTCCTGGTTTTTCTTTACCGCCAGGATGGCTCTCGCCAAGCACAGTCAAACCTGACCTTCTTGTCGATACTGAAGGAGCCCTATCAGGAACTGGCTTTCATGAAGCCCAAGGATATCTCCAGCAAGCTGCCGAAGCTGATCAGCCTCATCCGCATCATCTGGGTCAACTCTCCCCATTACAACACGCGGGAGAGACTGACCTCTCTCTTTCGAAAGGTGTGTAGATGGATGTTGAGGGCAAGCAGGACGGTGGCCAAGTTGACAGGCCTCAAATTCCCTGGCAGATGTGTGGTGGGAAGGCATTGAGGACTTGCCATCAGCTTGTCTTGATCACCAAAGCCTTCCGTGTGTACTTGATCACCAAAACCTGATCACCAAAGCCTTCCGTGTGTACTTGATCACCAAAACCTGATCACCAAAGCCTTCCGCGTGTACCTTATCACCAAAGCCTTCCGCGTATATCTGATCACTGATCACCAAAGCCTTCCGCGTATATCTGATCACTGATCACCAAAGCCTTCCGCGTATATCTGATCACCAAAGCCTTCCGCGTGCACCATCAGTTTTTAATGGCCCTGGGTGGGACTTATTTTTTCAATGGAACTAGTTCAGGCAGGGATAAGGGAATTAGGATGATGAGCTGTTTACAATCAGGAGGCAGGAAGGACAAGACTCCCAGGCTAAATTTCTGCAGTGGAGAGAAGTTGGTGAGGAAGGATGATGGACCATGGGGAACCAAAGGGATGCACCAAAGAGTGGGAGAGAGGACACCTCGCTGAGCTTGCTGGATTAGGGACACCACAGGGCTGGGCTGAGGCAGAGAAAGAAAGTGTGTGCTGGGTGCTGGTGGCTCATGCCTGTAATCCTACCTACTCAGGAGGAGGAGAGCTGAGGATTGAGGTTCAAAGCCAGCCCAGGCAAGAATGTCCATGGGACTCTTCTCTCCAATTAACTACCAGAAAACCAAAGTGGTGCTGTGGCTCAAAGTGGTAGAGTGCTAACCTTGAGTAAAAAAGCTCAGGGACAGTGCCAGGCCCTGAGTTCAAGCCCCAAGACGGACACAAATAAAAATAAAGAGTGTGTAAGGATGGGAAAGAACAAATGGACAAGAATAAAGGAAGGGATAATGACGTTGACAAAGAAGCATTGTACTCATAACGTGACTTATGGAATTGTAACCTCTCTGTACAACTACTTGATAATAGTGTTGTTTTTTTTAATAAAAGGAAATGTATCTGGAACCTGGAGTGAGGAGGTAGGGGTAAGATAGGTCTCAAGGGACAAATCAAAGAGCAAGTGGCCAAGACCTGAGGCATGACTCAGGGAATCAGAGAGGGGCAGGTGGAAAGAAGGCTGGGCATTGAGGCTGCTGGGCTCTTTTCTGCAGATGAGCAATGAGATCATCCGCTTGTGCTGCCATGCCATCTCCTTGGACCGGGTCTTTGAGGGATATGTCTATTCCAGCAAGGAGGACCTTCAAGGCTGCATTTCCTGCTGTCAGGCTTGGAAAGATCACTACCTGGAAGCTGTGCAGATGCATACCCAGTATGATGGCTCTCCCCTACCCCCACATACTTTGTTCTTGTCATTCCTGCAAAGGGAGAGTTCTAATTCCTTTCTTGTGCACCTATGTGTGCGTTCATGCGCACTGATACTGGGGCTAGACCTCGGGGCCTGGGCACTGTCTCTGAACTTATGTGCTCAAGGCTAGCCTTCTACCACTTGAGTCACAGCTCCACTTCTGGATTTTTGGTGGTTCCTTAGAGATAAGAGCATGAAAGACTTTTCTGCCCAGGCTGCCATTGAAACACAGTCCTCAAATCTCAGCCTCTTGAGTAGCTGGGATTACAGGTGTGAGCCACAGGTGCCTGGCGGAATCTTGTTTTCCAATGTAGGTTCATCTATTTGTGCATGAGCAGACTGAGCCCTCATGTTCCCACTGTTCTAGCCCATCTTTCTTCTAACACAGGTATTCCAGTCGGGGCTGGGTCCTAGACCAGACAAGCATATTTGCTCAAGTTGATGCCTTTGTACAGCGCTGCAAGGACCTTATTGAGGTGAGAAGATGGTTGAGGAGGGAAAATGAAAACAACAGCAAACCCTTCAGAGTCTCTCTACCAGCCAAGCAAATGGAGCCGAGGGTCTGATTAAGAAGCTTGGCTCTTGCTACATACTTGTGTGCCCTCCCAGCATCCCTTTCTTCTTGCCCGTTATTGCTGTCCTAGCATCTCATATGTCCATGTATAGCCCCAATTCATTCCAGCATCTCATCTACATCTGGTTGGTCCTCCTTAGTTCCTAGACATTTGAAGTGAAATCAAAGAGTTGAGGATTCAAAAAGTGCAGAAAGAAAAGGAGGAGTCCTCAAGATGGTTTCTTTTTCAGGTCTGTGACTGTCAATATCATTTTGCCCGTTGGGAAGATGGCAAGCAAGGACCCCTTCCTTGCTTCTTTGGTGCCCAGGGGCCACAGATCACACGGAACTTGTTGGAAATTGAGGATATCTTTCACAGAAGCCTGAGCATGCTGCGAGCTGTTCGTGGGGACATCCTGGATGTCAAGAATACATTTTGGCATGAAGACTACAATAAGTGAGTGGATCACTCATTGGTTGGTGCCAGGACAGGCAGAGAAGGGAGATCCAGGAGGACAAGAGGGAGAGTTTTCCAGAGATGCTTGAGAGGATGGGAAAACAAGAGAGAACACCAGAGAGAGAGAGAGAGAGAGAGAGAGAGAGAGAGAGAGAGAGAGAGAGAGGTGGATGGTCAGGCTCAGGGTTTCAGATTTTACCTTTCAGGGCTGTTCAACTTCCAGGATACTGGGCAAATGATGCTATTGTTCTTCCTTTATGTTAATTAGTTCATCAATATTAATGACAACACCAGAATCCATCTCCTAGCATTGCTTAGAGGATGAAATAGACTCATGGATGTAAAGCACTTAGTCACAGGCCTGGCATGCTGGAAGTCTTAGTGCACAGAACTCAGGGGATGTACTGGGGATCCACTGAGGGCACCCACATTTCCCACGGTCGTGGGACTTGAACTCTGGGCCTGGGTGCTGTCCCTCAGCTCTTCAGCTCAAGACAAGTACTCTACTGCTTGAGCCACAGTGCCACTTCCAGTTTTCTGGTGGTTAATTGGGAATAAGAGTCTCATGGCCTTTCCTGCTTGGGCTGACTTTGAACTGTGATCCTCAGATCTTAGCCTCCTGAGTAGCTAGGATTACAGGCGTGAGCTGCCGGCACCCAGTTTACATACTTCTTTGATGGTACAGATTCCGGGCTTCAATCAAAGACCTGGAGGTGATGACCCAGAACTTGATCACTTCGGCCTTTGAGTTTGTTCGGGATGTGGAGCATGGGGTGCTCCTGCTAGACACCTTCCACCGGCTTGCAAACCGTGAGGTGCTGCCACCTACCCTGCCTTTGGGGAGGACGGGAGTGGTCTCTCTGCTTTCCTTTAGTTCTGCTGAGTCTTTTTGATGCCATCCTGTCTGCATGAGTGCCCTTTGCCTGCATGCAGGATTGCCAGAATCTCTCCTCCCATCTTTCCCTCTGTTCCCCTGACCTTCCATAATTCTGAGGAGTGTGGCTCCCACTGTGTGTGTGTGTGTGTGTGTGTGTGAACCTACCTCTAGGAGACATCATGCACCTTGTCTTCTTGTACCTTAGGCCATCAAGCGCACATATGAGAAGAAGACAGTGGATCTCTACATGTTGTTCAATAGTGAACTGGCCCTTGTGAACCGTGAACTGAATAAGAAACTTCCATACCTGGAACCTTACATGGCTCAGTATTCTGGCCTGGCACACTGGGTGCTCATCCTCCGGCGCCGCATCGACAGGGTCATGAATGTAGGTGCCTGGCCTCCGGAAAACTCAGAGAGATGGCAGGAGATAGCTGTGTGCAGCTGGGGGGGGGGCGGGGTAGGTGGGGCCATGGAGTTTTCATGACTGGAAATTAAGTTGGATGAGGGGAGGGACAGATTCAGTTCATCCAAACTGGTGATTTTGTGGTGTGCAGAGGTGACCCAAGTGGCTGGTAGAAATTTCCTATCAAGGTAGAGAGGAGGGAGTTAGGCCAATGCAAAGTGGTATGTTTGGTGATCCAGAGACCCACATAGGTGAGACATTGATTTTTTTGGAAGGACAAGTACAAAGAATTAAGGAGCCAGCTGCTGGTGGCTCATGCCTGTAGTCCTAGATACTCAGGAGGCTGAGATCTAGAGGATCCCAGTTTAAAGGTAGCCTGGCTGGTGCAGCCTGTGAAACTCTCATTTCCAAAACAACCAGCAAAAAGCTGGGCTGGAGGGATGGCTCAAGTTGTAAAGTCCTAGCTGAGCAAGCAATACTTTGAGCTCAAATCCTGAAAAAAAAGAAGAAGAAGAAGAAACATGTGTGGGAAAATAGAGTAAAGGCTACTTGAAATACTGACCTATTGTGTAATTGGTTCTGGGAGAGACTAAATTGGCTTCAAATGTCTGGACTAAGTCCGGGCTCCAAAGGGCTCCTAAGTATTCAACTTTGTACCTCAGTGAAGGATTTTCATTTTCTTTCCTCCCAACTTTTTTCTTGCTTTTCTCTCTTCACTTTGACTCCTTTTCTCACTGTGCCTTGGTGTTTTCCTTCATTTTTTCTGAGTCAACCTTCCTTTGAAGAGCTGTCAAAATCGGTCAGTTTCTATAGCGAGCCCACATGTGTTATTATGTGTGTGTGTGTGTGCACGTGTGTGTGCACACGAGAGTGCACATGTTGGAGGGTCTTGGGATCTGGTTTCTCTCAGAGGAATGTGCAAAGAGGCTCCCCATCTGTTCCCTTTCAGTGCCTTTCTGGTGCCCATTTCCTGCCCCACATTGGGACTGGAGAGGAGAGTGTGCATACTTACCAGCAGATGGTTCAAGCCATTGATGAACTGGTTCGAAAAACCTTCCAAGAGTGGACAGCAACGCTGGATAAGGACTCCATTCGGCGGCTAGACACACCACTATTACGAATCAGCCAGGAGAAGCCGGGAATGCTGGACGTTAACTTTGACAAGTACTGAACTCATCCTGATTTCTTCTCTCTGTCCTTGGTGTCCTCCAATTCTCTCAGGAGTTGAACTCCCATCTTTTAGGTTTCTCTACCCATTCTGTCTGTCTGTCTGTCTCTCCTTGACACAGAATCTTGCTATGTAATTCAAGCTGGTCTTAACTCATATTTTCCTCTTGAGTGTTGGGATTACAGGTATGCACTAAGATTCCCAGCTGCTGTCATTTATAACTTTTAGTTAGTTTTTTTTCCTTTGTGCTGGTTCTGGGGCTTAAACTCAGGATCTGTGTGTGTTGTCCCTTGAGCCTTTTTTTTGCTTAAGGCTAGTGGTCTTCCATTTGAAACACATCTGTTTCCTTGTTGATTAATTTGAGGTAAGAGTTAGACGCTGGTTTCTCACTCCTATCATCCTAGCTACACAGGAAGCTGAGATATGAGGAACAAGGTTCAAAGCCAGCTTGGACAGGAAAGTCCTTGAGACTCATCTCCAAAATGAACAAAAATCAATAAAAATCGAAAAGTAGAGCTATGGCTCCGAGTGGTAGAGCACTAGCTTTGAGCAAAAGAGCTCAGGGACAATCCCAAGGGTTGAGTTCAATCCCCAAGGTTGGTGTGCATGCACACACACACACACACACACACAAACACACACAAACACACACACACACACAAACACACACACACACCCCAATTGAAACCAACCCACCAATCTATTAAACAGGCGATGTAGATGTTCTGCCACTAGATGGCCATGATGGTTCAGCTAAGTCAGCAAACCCTGAGCTATAGGTTTGACTTCAGATTGATAGATGGTGTCAAAACTATGCCCTCTCTTACAGCTTTAGAATTATGTCTTTATACTATAAATTTAAAAGATGCAACTAGTTAATTGATTAATATAAAATAGACCGTGACGAGCCATCTGTGGTGGCACATGTCTGTCATCCCAGCTATACAGAATGTATAAATAGGAGGATTGTGGTCTAGTCTGCCTGGGCAGAACCATGAGACCCAATTAAAAAAATAAAACTTAAAGCAAAAAGGGCTGGGGACATAGCTCAAGAGGTAGGTCCCAGTTGGTAAACCTAGTCAGTAGAGACCAGGCAATGTGAGACCCTGAGGTCAAATCCTAGTACTGTGGAAAAGTAGGGAGGGAAGAAGGGAGGCAGAGAGAGAGAGAGAGAGAGAGAGAGAGAGAGAGAGAGAGAGAGCACGCACGCACGCACGCACGCACGCAAGCACGCGAGCTGTGTTAGGAACTGAGGTAGACATTGCCCTCAAGGAGGCCAGGCTGTCATCCTATAAATCAACAATTCTGGGCTCAGAGCAGAACTTCCTATCTACATCAGATGCCGAAGAGAAAAATGAAGAAGGAACAATGTAAGGCATTTGTCTGTAGAGATTAGGAATCTTCTGAAGACAGTTGTGTTTTTTTTCTCTCTCTCCTAATCAGCAGGCAATAACTTTCTACTTGATTGTTTTTGGCTCTCTCATGTCATTAGCTAAATGCCCTGTTGTGAGAATTGCTTCCCACACTCTAGGCTGTTTTTTCCAGCATTGTCTTTAGCTCATAAAGGATCTGTATTTGTCAAGCAGAGCAGAGCAAGTCTTTGACAGACGGGTGTATGCTACTGGAGAACCAGGGGCAGATGAGGTTACAGCTGAAGGTGGCCAACTAGGGGAGATGATATACTACACTCAAGAAAGGAAGAGAGGGGCTGGGAAGGTGGCTCAGTGGTAGAGTGCTTGCCTTGCATGCCTGAGGCCCTGGGTTCGATTCCTCAGCACCACATAAGCAAAAAGAAAAAAGCCGGAAGTGGCGCTGTGGCTCAAGTGGTAGAGTGCTAGCCTTGAGCTGAAGAGCTGAGGGACAGCGCTCAGGCCCAGAGTTTAGGCCCCACGACCAGACCCCCCCCCAAAAAAAAAGAAAGGAAGAGAAAGAACCAAGATGGTACAGAGTGTCAAGAGGGCTGTGGCAGAGTCATTAGTAAGGACAGGGACACCAGAATCCACACACAGGAGAAAGTGGTTAAGAGTACAGTGGGATGAAGGAGGAGGTAAAAAGTTGAGGATAAGGCTTTGATTCTTTTGTTTTCGCCAATCCTGGGGTTTGAACTCAGGGCCTGGGCACTGTCCCTGAGCTTCTTTTGCTCAAGGCTAGCACTCTACCACTTGAGCCACAGTGCCACTTCCTGCTTTTTCTGTTGATATGGTACTGAGGCATCAAACCCAGGGCTGCATGCATGCAAGGCAAGCACTCTACCACTAGGCCATATTCCCAGCCCCGGGATAAGGCTTTGACCATTGAGGAGTATTAGAGACCAGCTCTGGTGAGGTTCATGGTTTTGTAACCCATGGCTTGAGATAAGGACAAGAAGAACATGTAGAATATGTTTGTTCTTTTTCTTTTGGTCATGGGGCTTGAACTAAGGCCTGGGTGCTGTCCCTGAGCTTTTGCACTCAACGCTAGTGCTCTACCACTTTGAGCAACAGCACCACTTCTGGTTTTGGGGGTTAATTGGAGCGAAGAGTCTCATGGTCTTGCCCAGGCTAGCTTTGAACCACAATACTTAGATCTCAGCCTTCTGAGTATCTACAATTACAGGCATGAGCCACCCATACCCAGCTAGAATATGTTTTATGTGTTTACAAATCAATGACAAAATTCTGAAGAGAATGCTGGCACTATTTGGGCATGTGCACGCGTGCGCGCGTACACACACACACACACACACACACACACACACACAGAGGCTGGGAACCTAGATGGAATAAAAAGGGAAAAAGGGAAAGAGCCATGAGCAAAATGAATTTTTCCTCCGTACCTCTCCTAAGTTGTTTATGTCAAGTGTTAGTTTCAGCAACACAAAGTCTGACACCCATACTTGCCAGTGTAAAGAGCACTGTCCATCTAGTTAGGACAATAACCATCTTTGTGGAACCGTTTGTGCATAATCTTTATAGTAGGGCTTAATGAAGCATCTCTAAAAACATGTTAGAGGTATGACTTAATTGGTAGAGTGTCTGCCCAGCAAGTACAAAAGCCAGAGTTAAACCCCCATTCCTGTAAAGACAGAAAACATCCCCAAACCCTATAGCCAGCCCCCACAAACAAACATCTTCAAAACCAATCCAAACAAACAAACAAAGAGTCAAGGCTTCTTTGGGCCACATATTTATGGCATGGGTTTATCTGAAATCCAATGCTTCTTCTAAGTAGAAAAGGTACCTGTTGTCCTTTGATAATTGTTTTCCCAGAGAGAGATATTATAAGATGCCTTACGTTTTGTGGTTTTAAGATAAAACTAGCTCAATTCTCAATTGAGTAAATCATGGATAAGAAGGAACATGATCTTCGTGAAGGATTTTAAAAAGTCTGGGTTCACTAAACCTATAAAGCAATCCAAGATATTCTCAGCTTTTAAAACTTAACCCTCCGCAGGAGTGCAGATAACATTATCAGTTTAGTCTTCCTGCTTAAAGTCCGGTTAAGAGCTTGACATAAGCATACTTTTGAAATGTCCTGATGGGCTTCAGAATTACCTGACTCCTTAGTTCTGGGAACCTTCCAGTTCCCTAATAGTATTTATTTTATCCCTCAGGGGGTTTGGTTATCCCACCTTATATCCCAAATATTTGAACTCTGAAAGTCCAACTTGGCTTTTACCACATTTTATGGCTACACCAGCTTTCCAGATTGCACTTAACACAAACATGTTCCAGATGCCATCTCTATGAGATTGAAAGAGTTGTGTTATCACCAGAGTGGAATTCCCCCAGAACAGGAGAAGGGGTTCCTGGAACTCCCTCTTCTCCTTCACCCCCCAGCCTCATGGAGCCTTCCCTACCAGGGCTGCTCATTGTGGGCTACCAACAATGAGTCCAGCTGGTCTCCTATTCCCTCCTGCATTCCCTAATTACATGTTTGGAAATGCACTATGGAATATTTTACAAAAGCAATTCTTCAAGTGGGTTTTTAAAAAAGAAGTTATATTTGTCAAAATAATAAAAAATTTTGTGTTCTGGACATTTTATTGACTAAATTCTGTCAACGAATGATGAGAAAAACCATTGTGAAAATGGTTCCTTGTAGGATTTTTGTTGTTGTTTTTGGTCGTGGGGCTTGAACTCTGGGCCTGAGCGCTGTCCCTCAGCTCTTCAGCTCAAGGCTACCACACTACCACTTGAGCCACAGCACTACTTCCGGTTTTCTAGTGGTTTATTGGAGATAGGAGTCTCACCGAGTTTCCTGCGTGGGCTGCCTTTGAACTGGGATCCTCAGATCTCAACCCCCTTAGTAGCTAGGATTACAGACGTGAGCCACTGGCACCCGGCTCTTATAGTTTTTTTTAGGTTAACCTCAGGAAGGTATTGTCCAATTCAGTCAGTTCACTGACAAAATATATGAACTTAAAGTGATTTTTAAAATTTATCAAGATCGAAAAAAAACTTGAAATCTGGAAAAATCAAAATATATTGATGCATTGGTGGCTAGTATACTTGTTCTTTTTTTGGGGGGGGGTCCGGTCGTGGGGCCTGAATTCTGGGCCTGGGCGCTGTCCCTCAGCTCTTCAGCTCAAGGCTAGCACTCTACCACTTGAGCCACAGCGCCACTTCCGGTTTTTCTTTTTTCTTATGTGGTGCTGAGGAATCGAACCCAGGGCCTTGAGCATGCAAGGCAAGCGCTCTACCACTGAGCCACCTTCCCAGGCCTAAAATATTGATGCTTCTTTTTTTATTTTTTATTTTTTTGGGGGGTCCGGTAGTGGGGTCTGAACTCTGGGCCTGGGCGCTGTCCCTCAGTTCTTCAGCTCAAGGCTAACACTCTACCACTTGAGCCACAGCGCCACTTCCGGTTTTTCTTTTTTCTTATGTGGTGCTGAGAACCCAGGGCTTCGAGCATGCAAGGCAATTGCTCTACCACTAGCCACCTTCCCAGCTGGCTAGTATGCTTGTATAGACAGGCTTGCCCTAGTGTTTACTAGCAGAGAAAATTCAAAGCCTCC